ATAATTTGTTTCATAATTAAATTGTAAAATTGATTTTTAGCAAAAGAAAATAATTTTAACAAAAAAGAAACCAACTTAACAAATCTTTTTAGATTTATATCTTATTTCTTATTCCAAATTTATAATTTATAATGAGATATTTAGATAATTTTAGAAGAAATATAACTGAATTTTAATTTGTATAACAAATAGACACACTACACTGTATAAACAATTTAAATTTTACATTTTATTATAATTTATTTTTTTTTAATGTCTGAAATGATACTTTTATAAATAAAATTTTAATACAAAATAAATTTTTTATTTATATTTAATGCATATTTTAAAAAAATGCATAAAATATTAATCAAATAAATACTAAAATATATTTTATTGATTATCAATCAGATGCATTAGCTAAAAATTTAACTTATTTAGTAAAGATATTTAATTGATTTATATATGCAAATAATGTCAATAAGATGTAAAACTTGTATTTATGTATGTTAATTATGCATCTTAATCAATTTTAGTAACATTACAAAAATATAAAAAAAAAAAAATCAAAAATCAAAAATCAAAAAAAAATTTCAAAAAAAAAAATAAAAATAAAAAAATAAAAAAAAATAAAAAAATAGAGCAGAGTTTAAAATTAAAGCGGAGATTAAAAAATAAATTTCTGCTCTAATTTTGAAATTCCATTCTAATTTTTAAACTCCACTCCATTTTTTACTTTTTAACTTTTGTTCTAATTTTTGATTTCCGTTCCATTTTTTACTTTTAATCTCTGTTCTAATTTTTGGATTCCATTTCATTTTTTTACTTTTTAACCTCTGTTCTAATTTTTAAACTTCATTCTATTTTTTACTTTTCAACCTCCATTCTAATTTTTGGACTCAACTTCATTTTACTTTTTAACCTCTATTTTAATTTTTGGACTCTGCTCCATTTTTTACTTTTCAACTTCTGTTCTAATTTTTGGACTCTGTTCCATTTTTTTACTTTCAACCTCCATTCTAATTTTTGAATTCCGTTCCATTTTACTTTTCAACCTTCATTTTAATTTTTAGATTCCATTTTATTTTTTACTTTTTAACCTTCATTTTAATTTTTGGATTTCATTTTATTTTTTACTTTTTAACCTTTATTCTAATTTTTAGACTTCACTTCATTTTTTACTTTTCAACCTCTATTCTGATTTTTGGATTCCGTTTCATTTTTTTACTTTTCAACTTCCATTCTAATTTTTGAATTCTGCTCCATTTTTTACTTTTCAACCTCTATTCTAATTTTTTGAACTCTGCTCCATTTTTTATTTTTCTAATCTCCATTCTAATTTTTTGAACTCTACTCTATTTAGAATTTAAAGAATTTTTAAATTAGTTTTTTTATAAACTTTACTAATGATTTTGTTTTTTAATTTTTTTAGAATAATTTTTGTACAGATTTTTGTTTTATCTTTTTGGATTTCTAAACTTTAGGAATGTATTTTTTAAAATAGATTATCATTTGGTTTATTTGAATTTTAATTTCAAAACAATTATAATTAATTAATTAATTATATTTTTTTTAGATATTATACTAGATTCTATAAAACTAAAAAAAAATTATGTATTATTGTCTTTTATTATCTTTTATATTGATTTTAATTATTTAAACAATCAATAATTAATAAGTATTTATATTTATTTGATAGATATATTGACATAATAATAATTAATTATATATATAATTCATTTTCTTTTTTTTTATATACAAATCATATTTTTTTCAACCATCTATTTTCCTTTTATTCAAACTTTCACAATGTCTTTCTTCAAAGAATTATCAGAAAAAATTTGTAAAATTTTAAATGAATTTAGTCATGAACGTTATATGATTTTGTTTGAGAATCCAGATAGATTTGAAACATGGTTGATTAGCAACCAAGTTATTAATTTAGTAAGTAATTATAATCCTTTAATCATTTAAGTAAAATAATTGAACAAGAGCTCGTCATCAAATCTCCAATTTGTGAAAAATCAATGTTAGGATGCGAAGAACAAGTATGTTCAATTTTCTAAGTTATAAGAATATACTTTCGAATATATAGATCAGTTACTATTAAGATTAAATTATAAATCACATAATTTATAATATGATTTTATATTTATATAACTTTGGGATCGTATATTTCCTCCTACATATGCTTTTAGTATATGCTAACTTAGGTTTTATTAGGATTAATAGATTTTTATATTTTAAAAAATTAATTAATTATATATTTATTTTATTTATTATTAATTTTAATAAAATCCTGTATCTGTTTTTGATCGATATATAACTAAGAATCAAAATAATGATTTTTGTAAAGATTTATTTTTAAGTTAACAAAATCAAATCAAAGTTCTTTCTAAAGATTTTGATAAAGTTATTAAAACATTATATGATTTAAACGTAAATCATAGATTAGATTTAGCTAAAAAATATCTTCATAAATTTGTTACTTGTGAAGATATTGAAAAAGAAAAGGACATTGTTATTATTAATGAAAATCAATCTGTTCTGTTAAAATATGATGATAAAATTATTGGAGGAGTAATTCGTAATGTTGCAAAAAAAAATGTTGTGAATCATTTTGGACTTAAAATGAAACTTACCTATGATGCACATTCTAAAATTAATCGTGAACAAAAAACATATGCTGATTTAGGAAAATTAATTGGTTATGGTCTTCATGCAAATTTTTTAGATCCATCAACCACTGATTCATATGTATATAAAAATATAAATCTTGATCCAGAGATACAAAGAATATATGATGAAGATGGAGATAATTTTGAAAATGGTTATATAAAAATGCTGAAGATCATGTACCATAGTTAGTATTATCATATGAAACATTTAAGCAAAAAGTAAATTTAAATAATGAACAGAAAATAGGTGTAAAAATCATTCTAAAAAAATTAAAAAAGTAAAATCATTAGTAAAGTTTATAAAAAAAAATAACCCAAAGATTCTTTAAAGTCTAAATGGAGCGAAGTTCAAAAATTAGAACGGAGATTGAAAAGTAAAAAAATGGAGCAGAATCCAAAAATTAGAACGGAGATTAAAATGTAAAAAAAAATGGAGCGGAGTTCAAAAATTATAACAGAGGTTGAAATGTAAAAAATGGAACGGAGTTTAAAATTAAAATGGAGGTTGAAATGTAAAAAATGGAACGGAGTTCAAAAATTAGAACAGAGGTTGAAATGTAAAAAATGGAGCAGAATCCAAAAATTAGAATGGAGGTTAAAATGTAAAAAATGGAGCAGAGTCTAAAAATTAGAATGGAGGTTGAAATATAAAAAATGGAGCAGAGTCCAAAAATTATACTTAAAGCCCAAGCAGAACTAAGAACACTATATCTATTTTCTGAAACAAAATTTCTAGATTTTTGTAAAGAAGTTTCATCCTTTAAAGGAATTGGTCTTTCAAGCTCATAATGACCATATCTTTTTTTTTCATAATTTAAACCAGCTTGTTCAGCTAAAATGATACATCCGGCTGTAGTGCCAGAAGAAACTAAAAAGGCTTTAAGTTGTATAGTTGAATTTCTAAATGTAGGAAAATATCGTTGAGCAATTAAAGATAAACCTAATGTTAATCCAAGACCAATTGCTGCTCCTTTAATACCACCTTTAACTGTCGCATTGTAATGTTCTTGGAAAATGAAGAAATCAGAATTAGTATATTCAAGAAACATTTTGTATATATAAATATATACATTTTTAATATGTACTAATATGTACCTTGTTTTTCTTGTTCTGAAAGTATTTTCATATTTAAATGAGTGAAAAAGCTAAAGCACGCTTCTTTTTGAAGGTTATATATACAATTTACACGTGTCTACTATCTTCATAAGGGAATATATAAATACCGCGCATCGCGATTTCATAGATCTCGGATACTGTATATTAGTAATTCATCGAAAGTGGTTTGAATGGTTAATAATCAAATTAGAAAGACCGATGCGATTGGCATTCAATCCATAACCTGATTTTTCATTAAAAAATTTATCCAATCATGCGATTAGATAAAGACAAGACAGACTATGACTATTTTTGACTATTCTTAGATCTCTTAAATCTTGATCTATTATTTACAGTTCAATAGATTTTCACGAATGAAGCAGTTCTTATTAAAATCTAGTCATGAATCATATGGGAAAAAACCGGAAAAATCAATTTTGTTTTTATTTGTCAAATATGTTTTTTAGGTCAAAATATGTTCAGATTTAGATTAACTCATTTTTTTTATTTTCCTGGCAATTTTCTTGCAAAGACCGTAAAGTGATTTTACTAACAACTGCCTATTTGTACATATTGATAAATTTATTATTATTAAATAAGAAAATTATAAAATTATACTAATTTTTATTGTAAAATTACATTTTTAATATATAATTTTATCTATTATAATAAATTAGTACATATAATATATATTTTAAGATAAATGATATTAACTAATACTTCTGATTGTTTAGATAATAAAGTAATTTTCTTTTAATTTTACTATATAATAAAATATTAAATAAATATACAGTTAAAGCTTATTATAGTAAATCCTATTATAAGAAACACATGTTATAATAAATATATTTTATTTGTTTATTTATTTTTCTATAATAAATTTTATTTAATATAGTGAACTCTTAATCAAATCTTACTAAAACTAAAAATTTAATATAACAACTTTGATTATATATAAGCTAGGTTGGCTTATAAATCTTATAATTTAAGTTTTTTTAAACAATTAAATAATAATTTATAAGTTAATCAAGTTAGTTTATATTATAATTCATTTTATTAGATTGATTATTACATTTAAAATATGTAATATATATAATGCTTAGTAAATTTTTAAATTTTAAAACAGTTTTTATATTATAAATAAATTTATTATAAATTATAAATCTATATAATTAAATATTATAATTAGTTATAATATTAATAAAAATTTAGTTATAACTAGTGATAAATAAGTATTATAAAATTACAATTCATTATAACATTATTTTTAATCAATATGTTAAATCAATATATAACTTAAAATATATTATTGCTGTTTTCAAAAAGGTTGAATCTGCACTATATTGATCAATTATAATAAATACTGAAAAAATGTGGTTTTTGTAAATCAGATCTAATAAAACTAGAATTCTGAATAAGTCGAGTCGAATCGAGTCGAGTTTAAGGATCAACTCTATTCAACTCATTTTTTTCAAGTCGAGTCGTGTCAAATTTATTTTATAAAATTTTTCAACTCGATTTGATTCAAGTTATATAAATTTTAAACTTGATTCAATTTGACTCGATTCGAGTTTAACTTGACTTGATTATGACTTGAATTTATTTGAGTTGAGTCAAATTCAAATCAAGTTTTAAGTCAAATTTAAATTAACTTATAAATATTAAATATAAAAAATTTATTTT